AGCAAACCCAGAAGAGCAAGAGGAATAAAAAAATAACCAAGCCAAAGCATGAGCCCGGCATCACCACACGTTCTGAGTCACCCCAACCCCGACAAGCCCTCGGCTGCCCCCACACCCCACGTGGGAGCTTGTGAGGGCAAAAATAATCAGCACATGCTAATTACAGGCACGAAGATGGAGGTGAAGACTGCTCATGGGCCACGCAGCCTCAGGCACATGGGTCTCACAGCTCTCAGCGACAGGAGAAACCTCCCACGGCAAACCTGGGGCGGACTCAGCCATCCATCCCAAGGAACCATCCTCCAAAAATGTCTCCCAGGGCCAAAAAAACATTTGCTAGAATCGCAGCCACTGCTTCCCCTGCTCTTCCTTCTGCTTCCCACGGGACAGTGCCTGGGAAGAGATCCTCCAAAGAGGCCACAAAACTTGGGTGCCAGCACAGACCACCTGCACCAGTGCGCGGCCGAGGTGCCGGGTCACACCCCAGGGATGGGAGCACCCAGACACTCGTACCCACAGCTGCAAAATCATGGCTGTGGCTGCCCACCAGCACAGGAGCAGGCACTCACTGCCCTCTTCGTTGCAAAAAAAAGCCACCCCTCTGTTTGCTCAGCATCAGAAAATAAACATTCTTTTTTTTTTTTTTCAGGATGCGAAAGGACGTTAACTGCTGGATTAAAAGATGGAAGCCCAACAGCTTCCCTGCCCAGCTGTGAGCCCTCCGTGGGTTGAACCGACACCATTTTGGGAGACGGCGGGGAGATGAAGGCTGCGATTCCTCTCCCTGCATCCCACAAAAGTGCTCAGCACCAACAAAACCCTCCTGCCCTGCCTGTGGGCTCGCGGGGCGCCAGGTCAGGGAGGCACATCAGCACCACTCAGTGGTGCCATCCCTGTCCCTGCGCCACCGAGGAGCATCCCTGTCCCCACACTGAGGAGCAGCCGCAGGTCAGGGGTCTGAAATGCTGCTGTGTCCTCCCTGGTCACCCACTGACTGGTGCCACGCTGTTTGCAGCAGCTCCTCGGCTGCAGCTCAGGAAACGGCACAAGGGCAGCGATCAGCCGCAGGCTCGGGGGCATCGTCTCCCTCTAAATGAAGCACAGACGCAGTTTAACTGAGCAATTTGCCTGTTTACCGAGGACCCGTTGCAGTCGGTGGGAGCAGGAGCAGCTCCACCATAATAAAAAGCCTTTTCTAACACTATCTCATAATGCCGCAGGCAAGGAGTATCATTTTCTAAGAGGAAAACCCATTTGTCCAGGATTATGTGCCACAGAAAATGATTATACAGCTGCGAAGGACAGACTTTCCCAAGCAAAGCCACCAGCCCCAGGGGATGTGTGGGCGCAGGTCCTGGCCCCACGCAGCGCTGGGGGCACACACAGACGAATCGCTCCCAGATGACCAGATCTGTATGTCAATGCACCCCACGACAGCTGCCCCATGTCCCGTGCTCTTGGCAGGAAAGGAACAAAAAAATAATCACAGAGTGTCAAGGGTGACTCTCCAGAGGTCCTGAAGGTTTCTGAGCTGTGTCGTGACTAATATTGCAATAAGAAGTGATCAGTGATTTATATGGCTGGCACTGAGCTGGCCCCAGGGGCTGGGCAGAGCCTGACACCAGTAAAGCGGAACACTGGCATGGCCGGGCACCACAGCCAAACCTCAACAAAGAGACCCAAGCTTTGCCAAAGAGACCCCGTGTTTACAGGAGCGGCATCCACAAACTCTCCCTGAAGGGCTGGGGCCAGGGACAAAAAGCCAGCAGAGACAAATGGGACAGGTGAGGGAGCAGAGACGCAGCCAAGAAGCAGGACCAGCGTCTCCCTTGCACCCTGATTTCCACAAGGGCCCACTCCTGATTAAGAGTGGTAACCCCCTCCCCAGCCACCGCGGAGCTCAGCTCCAGCAGGTGGATCCAGACCCTCTTTCCAAAAAGCCATTTTTTCCCACCCAAAAAAGCACAACCGTTTCATCTGGTGGCTGCAGGGCCAAGGCGCAGAGGGCAAGGCCGCTGCACACATGACCCCCCCCTCTCCCCGCTGCCCCGGTTCACGGCGGTTTCCTCTGCACCGCAACCGAGCGGCAGCAGCAGAAGCGGTTGGGTTTTACATCCCCGCCTCACAGCGGGTGCAGCCGGGGAGACGGCGCGAGGGGTGACGGGACCCAGCCCCCCCTGCCCCGCCTCCCCAAGGTCCCTCTTGCCTCATGACATTCACAACTCGAGCATGAAGTTGAGGGCACAGAGGAGCAGCCAGCGGCTGCGCGCGGGGAAGAGCAAAGTGCAACTTCCTCCCTTTTTTCTTCCGAACGAGAGACCCAAACTTGCATATAAAAGTAAGTGCAGAAATCGCATGCCCTGTAGATAAAATAGTTAGTTCTGTCAGCACCAAACCCCTGGGAAATGCTGCTCCTCCCTTCCAGGGACCTGCAGTCGGGGAAGAGGCTGCGTCTGCAGGAAGACACCACCAGAAAACGGCGCAGCCCTCGCACCGTCCTTCCAGCACACCTTCCACAGCTCTCGTTTCCACCAGGGAAGCCACGCGGGCATAAACACGCCAGTAAATATCTTCCTGCAGGCCACCGGTTAATTAAGGAGCTCTTTTCATAACAAGTTAACAAATAATGCATGCGGTTATGACAAATTACACTCTTGCTTTGCCGTGCGTTCGCTAATCACCGCTGTTCTGTTCTGCAAGCCAGGACAGTGTTTGATGAAGTGTGATGTTCGCAAGGAATGAGCTCACTGGAGATAAAGGGAGCCGGAGCTCGGGGCAGGTCCAGAAAGCGCCCCAGTACCCACAAACCAGGCTCCCCCAAAAGCACCAGCTTGAGGTTTTGAGAAAATTCAGATTTATCTTAAATACTCAGATTTTGGAAACAGGGCCTACTCACGCCTTGCGTGGCGTGAACAAGGAAAGACAAGAGGTTGCTACAGCTCTTGCTGTGGCAACAGAGCTGCTCTTGGAGGGCGCAGGCAGCCGTGGCCGCTTTCACTGCAGAGCAGAAGTGAGATTTCCTTTGAAATGAAATCTCAAAGCCATCGCTGCGCGGCAAGGAGAGGCAGCTTAGTGAGGGACACCAACAGCAACAACAAACCCGCTCACCAGAATCGTCTGAAGGTGTCAAACTTTTAACAGATCCTCGTGCCACGAAAGTGCAGGCGAAATCAAAAGGAAAACCAACTTTGCACAGGTGCAGGGACCGTCTGCGTTTCGTAGCTGTGTAGGACCTACCACCATGACAGCTCCTGCTCCTGGAGATGCCCAGCAATGCAGGAACCACACAGAATTCACAGGCTAGGGAGGAAAAAAAAAAAAAAAAAATCCCAAACCACCCCACCATCCGAGACCCATCTCAAGTGTCAAAGTTTTATTGACTGGCTACCTGGGGCTGTGCGATCGAGCCCGCTCGCAGAGTTTTCTCCTCACGGAGACTGGGGTGCGGTGTCCTCGGATCTGCTGCGCAAGCCCTCGGGAAACCGCCCGCCGCTCTGCCAGGCAGAGGTAACCAGAACACGCAGCCAGCGCTGCTCTGGTTCCGTTTTCTGCCTGCCTCAGCCTGCAGACACCAGCAGCTCACATCTGTCCTCTCGCAAGGCGCTAACGGTGGATCTTGTCTAACGAGCCCGCTTCTTCTGATGCCTCATGCCAAGTCCACCATCCAGAAGCCGTTTTCTGCAGATGAGTCACAAACCACGCTGGAGACAGTCCCTTTGTGGTGTTATTCTACACCCTCTCCCTCTTCTCCAGAGCTCTGCCAGAGGACAGACACTGCGGTCAGGGATCGCACGATGGAAAATTCTGTGAAGCAATTTAAAAATACAAAGTATGGATTTTTAAGTGACCCGGTTTTCTTGAAGCACTGGACCCACACGTTGTGTCAGCACAATACGCAATATTTTCTTCATGCGTAACTGTCTTCTCCATCAATTAACCAAAGAATGAGCTAACCAACCCAGACAGGTGCTAAGTAGGACCCTGAGACCGGTTCTGGGGAGAGGGCTGTGCAGCAGAGCAGACAGCACTAAAAGCAGCAGTGGGCGTATTATTTTTATTACTGTGGTGCCTCAAAACTCCAGTTTTGAGACCGCACTGCACTACAGTGAGGAAGCAGAAGAGCAAGTCAGCACGCAGCTCAAAGATGGTCCTGCTGAAGACAAAGAGCAGAGTTCTGGGTTTCAGGACAAAGCAGCTCCTCTGTACGCACAGGGTTCTGCTCCGTGGTTTCACGGGGTCCCTAATGTTATTTCACAGTGAGTTTAGAGCTTCACCCCTGGAACGCTCATGCTGTGCCAAGTCAATAGCAGCAGCCCTGGGAATTCCTGGCAGCATTTGCTGCGCCAGTTAAATTAACCTACCGTTTGTTTCCTGTGGATGTTCACGATATGAATGTCTTCGCTGCGATACTCCTCGTCGTGCTTATCCAGGGGAATTTTTTCCAGCTCAAAGTCCATCTGAAGCAGCTGGTTAGCAGAGAACACACAAAACAACTGAAATGACACCAAGTGCCCTTTTGAACTAAGCATGTTCTGTTAAAAAGGCCTCACAAAATACTGCACGAGGGCAAGAAGCCTTAGGAGGCTGGAGCCACCATGCTCAGACCATTCCTCTAAAGGCCTCTACAGACATGCAAGATATTTTTCCCCCCATGCAGCATGTTTACCCTTGTTTTAACTACTCCAGTGCCAAGTCAAAGTTACAGACACTTTGCAATATTTAAGAAAAATCTAAAAGCCTGTGATAAAACATTTTGCTTCCTCCAGTCTCCAAAGTGCTAAGCCAAACCACAGCACCTGCCTCTGGCTGCCAACCTTCTCAGCTGGAGGGGAGGGGGGAGAAAAAAGGCTAAAAAAACCCAGCATTGACTCTGCAAGTGTGCTCAGAAGATTAACTCAGCTGAACCCTGTCAAGTTAAGGAAGGAAAGAAATGACAAGAAAGCAGAAATCATTCAGAAACACCTACTCCTATTGTATTTATTGTGGGAGCGGCACCTCGTCCCTGCAAGAGTTCGAGGCAGGGCTAATTATCAAAGAGGTGCTTTTATTAACGCGTACAAATCACCCCAGAATTCTTGCCCTTCCCCTTTTTTACACTATTATTAATACATGTTATCCAGTGCTCCTGCACAAGGGATGTTTTTCAGCAGACTTCATGGGTGCAGAGTTAAATCCTGCACTGATCATCATCCCCACAACCTCAGGAGGGATTCAGCTGTTACCCGTGTTCCTTTCTTTACCTGCACAGAAGATACAGCTGGACTATTTAATTACATCACCTATTAATGGTCTCTCAGTACAGGGGGGCAAATTTTTGCAAAAGCAGCTGTATCACTCAGCAGAGAGTCTTCAGCCTCTGAGCTACTCTGGTAAATTTTACCTGTGTTTTCCCTCTGATTTCAATGGAACACGCTAAAAGAAAATGAATTTTCACCAGACCAATTTTTAATCTTCACAACCTCCAGTAACATCAAGACAACCACTGCAGAAAGAAGGCAGCAACCAACTGCTAATTCACTTCCTCCTACAAAAACCTTTTGTTTTTGACAGGTACTGCCTCACGTATGGTGGCCCTTTTACAAATCTGGAAGGTATCACAAGATTAGTAAGGCAAGAAAGTTTAGTTTGACCTTTTGAGGGAAGGGAAGCTCACTGAGTATCCAGAAAGTCTCTACTGATAAGTTGGACGGTAACTTCAAGCATCATTATCCAAATTTTCTGCCCCATCTAAAGACAAACGGGCTTCTCTGGCTACCAACTCTACATTGTGTGGTCAACCTGAATTTGTAAGTGTAGGAACTGTCACTGATGTTCAGCTGATCCAATCCAAAGCCCTCCTGCATCCGTTATTTTCCTAGTGTTCAAAAAGCTCATGTTAAAAACACTTACCTCAAAGTATTTTCTCTCAATTTCAGGATTCTTTCCCATAGTCCTCTGTTCGTAACAGCACAAGACACACGTATCAGGGCCCGTAAGGTCTTTCAGTGTCTTCAGTAACGGTTCTAATGACTGCCCAAAAGAGGTTAAGTATTTCCTACTTAGATTTCAAGTTCATTTTACTAGTACTATACCCTCTAACTAGAGAAAGTCTTCACCCAAGAGAGCACTTTCCAGTTTTGCTTTTCAGAGTGTTATTTTTAGTACTTTAACTGGGACAAAAAGAACGTGGGGGCAAGCTGGGAAGCAGAGGAGAAAGGAAGACTGCATAGGAGAGTTCCACAGACTGACCAAGAAAACTGAACCAGCATCAAAGCCAAAAACATCCCATCCTGCTGAGTGGGCATTTGCTTGAGGCACACAACAATGACTATTTTTTGTCACGTTTCAAAAGTGAGTTTTCTCAGTCATTCTCGGAACATGGCTCAGATCCAGACCACTGCGCATGGAAAGAGGACTGGCGTGCAGGGAGCCAGTTCAAGAGGCTGGTAAGACCACTGAAAGGGCACTGGGACATGGGGTTCTTCAGGTCATTTCTCTTTTCCTGCAACTTCTGTCAGCTCTCTCTACACATCCCACAGAACTCCAGCTGAGGAGACGGGGCAGACTACAACAACCACTTAGGTGCAGCGTGGTTTCTCCTTCTGCCTTCCAAAGGGAAGTGTGAGGAGAACCCAAACGGTGCAGATGTGGCACAATTAAATTTCATTTACCAATGCATTAAACAGTTCACAACTCTCAGTCGCAATGTTTTGCTTCACACATCATTCACAGTGTAAAGAAAAAAATAAAGAGGGAGGCACAAATACTAAGTTTGGGAATTTTTTTTAAGTAAAAAAAGTCTCTGGTTGACTCTCAAATGGCCTTGAATCTGTTAAAAATGCCTTTTGCAGTGTTGCTCTATGTCTTCCTCTAAACTACGGGGACCAAGGTGAAAGTATATTTATTTGAACACTTCTCACGCTGAACCCACACCCTTCCCAAACGAGTTTTCTATAGGGGTTTTGAAAAGTCCTTGTTTACCTCCTCATAGTAAATGCAATCGGCCATTAGTATGTAATCGGGGGGAGGCTGAAATTCTGTTACATCTTCACCCCTAAAAAGAGGCCAAAAAAAAAAAAAAGGTGAAAACAAGCTTCAGTAATCATACAAGAGGTACTACTAAAGGACCGAGCATAAAGTTAACTATGGTCCTATACCGAGCTTCCCTTTCACAGCTGGGCTTTCAAGTATATTTAGCAATTTAACAAAGCAAAGGGAGAAGCCCCGCTAGAGCCGAACAGAAACATTAAAGGATCATACAAACCATTTCAGTACCTTGGCTCGGACTGACCCTGTGACCAGGTGTTTGTTGTTCTCTATATTAACCATCAGCAGCTCCTGCAGCTCCTCAAGGTCGGTGACTGTCACGTTTGCCCTGTAACACACACACACACATGGCGTCACGGCCCGGCCCCTCGCCACGGCGCGCGCACACAAAACGCGCCTTTTTTTCGAGAATTTAAAAAGATTTCACGTAGATAACACGTGGAGAAAGAGGCAGCAGGGACCTGCCCCTTCCCCGGGCCCTCCCCGCGCCGGGAGGAAATGGC